ATGTGGGCTGGTACACGGCGGCCTATCAGTTGGCGAGTGCCGCGTTACAGCCGCTGTCGGGCAAGGTGTACACCTTTTACAATACCAAGGTCGGGAGATTGTCTAGAGAAGCTATGGGGTAAAGGCTGATGGTTCTCCAGTGGTCGTATTTGTTCTTCTTTGGGGTGTTCGAGCTGGGCTCCCTCATCTGCGGACTGGCCAACTCCTCGTCGATGCTGATCGGAGGGCGAGCCATCGCTGGCATGGGGAGTTCAGGGCTGTTGAACGGAGGGATGACTATTATTGCTGGCTCGGTTCCGCTGGAGAAACGACCTAGTGAGTTCCCCGACGCGTGAAGTGAGAATCAAGCTGAAGATACCTCAGTCTACACCGGAATCTACCTTGGTAGTGAGTCGCCTGCCTCCTGATCTGCTAGAGTACAATCAGCTGAACAATTCTAGTCTCGCAGGTCGGCATCATCTGCGGCCCTTTGATCGGTGGAGCGCTCACTCAGTATACAACTTGGCGCTGGTGTACGTATCTGTCACAGTTTCCCCAGAGTTTCAATGCAATCATTCTAACAAGGACAGGCTTCTACATCAACCTTCCCGTCGGCGCCGTCACTGCCGTCCTCCTCCTCTTTATGCACGTCCCCGAACTCACCACCAAAGCCCCCTTCTCGCTGGCACTGGTGCGCCGCACCCTCCCAGACCTCGACCTCCTCGGGTTCGCCCTCTTTGCCCCAGCTGCCATCATGATCCTGCTGGCCCTCCAGTACGGCGGAAACGACTACAGCTGGGACAGCTCGGTGGTGATCGGGCTGTTCTGCGGCGCCGGGGCAACAGCCATCGTGTTCGCGCTGTGGGAGAAGCGCATGGGCGAGCGGGCGATGATCCCGACTTCGATGGTCAGTGCACGCATCGTCTACTCCAGTGCCATCAACGGAGGGATGCTGGTGGCGTCCATCCTGGTGGCGGCGCAGTACCTCCCCATCTACTTCCAGGGGGTGCGTGGGTATGGGCCGGCCATGAGCGGGGTGAACACCCTGCCGGGCATCTTGAGCCAGCTGCTCATGGTCATTCTTTCTGGGGCTTTTGGTCAGTAATCCTTCTCTTAACTCAACATCGCGTGGTTTGTGACAATATTCTGATGGGACGTAGTGCAAAAATTGGGGTACTACCTCCCCTTCGCTGCTGCAGGAAGCGCCATCAGCGCCGTCGGCAACGGCCTCGTCACGATGTTCGCGCCTTCGACCCCGACAGGCAAGTGGATTGGGTACCAGATCGTGCTAGGCAGTGGGCGTGGGATTGGGATGCAGATGGTCAGCTAACCCCCTTATACTTTACACCCCATCACAGTACACAACACTTCTTTCGTTTCCATCCAGACCCATACTAACCAAAACAAAGGGCATCATCGCCATCCAGAACCACCTCCCCGTCCACCTGATCCCCATCGGCATCGCCTTCATGATTTTCTGCCAAAACTTCGCCGGCGCGGTGTTCGTCGTCGTGGCGGAGGTGATCTTCCGGCAGCAACTCGTCAAGGAGATCCGGCTGCATGCACCCCAGGTCTCGGTGAATGCGGCCCTGGCCGCTGGTGCGAGCGCGAGCTCCGTCCGGGCGTTGGTGCCGGAGGGTAGCGGTAGCAGTGCGGAGCTGGCGGGGGTGTTGCTGGCGTTTGCGAATAGTCTGGATAAGGTCTTCTATCTGCTAATGGCGTGCTGCCTGACGGGGTTGGTGGCGGCGTTTGGGATGGGGTGGGTTAATGTGAGGAAGAAGAAGACGGTTGCTGAGGAGGGGGAGGAGGGAAAGTAGGGCTGGCTTACACATTCTGCTGTGGGCAGCTGGGGCTGAAGTCGTTCTGTCAACTGTCTCGGTTTTAAATGGTTTTTCTCTGTTCTTTCGAAGAGAAGGGGTTTTTTTTTTTTGCCTTCGATTTCGTCTATTACATATTATACTATCTTAATGGCAACTGCTTAATGTGACAGAGACAAGCGTACTTGTCAAACAATATAAAGATCCGCACTTTCATTCTGAACATCATTCCCCATGCGTTTTATTCACCCGTACAGAGTGCAATTGATTTTCCGGCTCCTCTCTCAAGAAGTATTGATTCACCGGCCAGAGACCGGACTATCAAACCCCTAGAAGTGCACCCCGTGCACCTGCTGCTTCATCTTCTTGACATCAATGTTCTTCCAGAAGAAGCACGACGACCACGTGATCAGATACAGACACGTCGCCGTGATCAGCATCAGCCGCTGGGTCTCGCCGTAGGCAGAGTCGATGGCATCACGGGTGGGCGTTCCCCGGGCGTAGGACTGCTGCACGTCCAGCGATCCGTAGATCGTCGACCAGTCGGCCTGTGCGGACGCAGGCAGCAGCGACCGCAGCTTCACGGGGAAGATGCCCGTCCACATGGCGACCGCCACCGTCCCGCCCAGGGCGCTACCAATGCTGGCGACGACGCCCTCGATGGCCAGGATCGCCGGGATGTTGCGCTGCGCCGACACAGCCATGACCGTCATCTGCTCACAGATGACCAGGGTGCCACCCCCAAAGGCGACGAAGATCTGGCACATGACAATATACCCAATGTTCACGTCCGGCTGGCGGAACTTAATCATCAGCCCGACACCTAGAATGGTCAGGGGCACGCCGAAGCAGATAGCCCAGTACTTCAGACGGCCCTGGTAGCGCAGGATGGCGCCGAAGACCAGGCACCAGAAGCAAGAGCCGATCGTGTAGATGTTAGAGATGTAGGTGGCCTGCGTCACGGTCTGGTTGAAGACCACCTGCAGCAGGCTGTAGAAGTAGCTGTCCCAGATGTACCAGGCCAGGTAGAGGGAGACGACCATCGAGAAGGTGAAGACGACGGTGCGGTCCTGGATCAGCGCCCAGGGCATGAACTGCACGGGGGCCCAGAAGCGCTCCCACACCACGAAGGCCAGGATCAGCAGGGCACCGATGATGATGAAGCAGATGATCAGCGGCGAGCGCCACTCGTTGGCCTGGTACGAGTACAGGTTGAAGGCCAGCAGGAAGAGGGAGAAGCCTGTGGCGATGATGAGCAGGCCGACCACGTCGAACTCTATGGCATAGTGAACGGTCGACTGGACCAGCGTGCGCCCGCTGCGCTCGCGTTTCTCGGTCAGGCCCATCCGCTCGGCCTTCTTCTGGATGTAGTACCATAGGCCCCACAGCGGAGCGCAGACGATGGGCATGATGATGGCGAACACTCCGAATCCCCAGCGGTAGCCGATGCCCCCCGGGGCAACGATGCGGTCGGCTGCGTAGCCGTAGATCCACGGGGTGATCAGGTACGGCGACGAGGCGTAGGCGATCCAGAAGGCCCGGTTCTTCAGGGCTGTCGTGTCGGCGATGAAGATCGTCATCGAGAAGTCGATGCAGCTGAACCCGATCTGGTAGAAGACCTGCGCGGCGCAATAGGTCTGCACGTTCTTACAGGCGGCCATCATCACCAGCCCTAGCGTCAGCGAGCCCACTGCAACGGCGAAGGCCTGCGGTCGCCCCCAGATGTCCATGAGCTTCGCGTACGGGAACTTCACCATCGCGGATATCAAAGAGGCGATGACCGAAGTCAGACCCGTCAGGGAGTGTAGGGCAAATCCGCTGTAGATGTAGGGGGACAGGGAGCCGAGAAGACCGGAGCTGAAGTATTCGAGGAAGTTGACGATCCAAGCCCTAAAAGGGAGGGTGAGGTTAGTGAGAGATGCTTCGGAGTGAGTGATCGGAGACTTACAGGATGTAGGCTGCAATCAGGGTGTTCCTCGTCCAGGCTTGGGTGCTGGCCTGCGCCTTCTGGGTACCGGCTTGCGCTTTGTCGTCGATGATCGTATCATCCTGCGAGGAGCGATCGGTCTCTTGTGCTTGGTCTATAGGGTGCTTCGACTCTGCAGTTGTCTCAAGATCAGAGTGCCCAGTCTCAGACTGTGCCCCGACAGCGCCCTTGGCCGCGAAGGGGTTGATGAAGCGGTTCCTGGGAGCCATGGCGGTGGTTGTCCGGAACAAATGTCACGAACAGGAATGCAGGCTGGGGCGGGCCTCAACCTCTACTTATACTTCCGTTGCTACATAGTCCCGGGCAAGTGGTCCGAGGACCGGAAAACAAATCTCCCTGCAATCTTGCTAGACTAGATTGATTCAATATGATAACATGACTCAGAGCATGGACTGGACTAAGAAAGGAATGGTGCAACGGAGACCCGGATATGCCGACTGCAGCAGCGACAGCAGTCATCCTGACAATGCTGGCTTGGCAATTGAAGGATTCATTCGACCATTCAACAGTGTCTCTGCTGGCCTCCAAACCAAGGACAAAAGGGACTGCCAAGAGGGTTCAAGCAAGAGAAAGAGGGGCCGCGGAGCCTTATCTGATTATCTGATTGATTGACTAGATTGATTAGATTGATCTTTGGCTCGTGTCCAGTTCCACTTTGGGCCTTAGCGTCGTCGTCCTGCCGGCCAATTTTCCCCCTCCGGGTTTTCTCCGAGTCATGAATGGCCGCGTTGTCAGGCGCCCACGAGCCTCACGGCCGTTTGATTTTGCTGAGAGTTTGCGCTACTAACTCACTTAGCCTGTTGAAGTTTAGCCTGGTGGCGTGAGGAAAATTTCAACGTGGTGTGAGAAGGCTTGTCCTGGTGAAATTGCAGCAATCGCTTTGAGTAGAGCATGTGGATGGGGTGACTCGGTCAACATCTGTGCTATTGCAGGCTGCTTAGGATGTCGTGAGTATACAGCATTTGACGGAGGAGTATTGTGAGTCTCATTCCGGTTGAAGGACTGCAGCACTCCTAGGTACCCAGCACGGTGAACCCCTAGAAAACCCTGACGGATCAGATGATTCCAAATTCACCTAAGCTTATCAGCAGATCCCACCGTGCGCATTCCATATTAACATGCGCAGGGTGGGGATGGTATGTGATAGACCTGTCTCGCCCTTCCTAGCTTTGGCTGGATTATCCATGAGTGCGTCCACGCCAGCCGGGGAAGATGGTTCAAAAAGAATTTCTCATGCAGTGCCCTATAGAATAGAGTCCCAGGAACTGCCAGTCCTTATCTCCTTCCTTGACTGCGACGGCCAAGCAGCGAAACCCGTGGAGCGCAAACTCCTGGGCCTTGTTCTTGTGTTGCTCGGCTTCGGCCTTGGGATGGCCCGCAAGCTTGATGATCGCCTTCGGCGCCCCTTTTGCACAAACATGCCGTACTCCTTCGCACGTGCAAGTGGTGGTGATGCACTTCGACACTGGGTCGAATGGGGTGAAGTCCTCCGTAACCCACGGACGAGACAGTATCTCGCGTGCGTTGGGATATCGGCGCAACGCAAGCAAGGTCACCCGGTCAATCGGATCGAGATTGCGCGTATTGTGCGAAGATGCGATGGCGGCAACCGCAAACATCCAATTCACATCCACTCCGCTCGCGACATAAGGCTCGCGTACTGAGAGCTTGCTGGCTGGCAGAGTACCGGTCTTATCAGTACAGAGCACATCCACCCCAGCCAGCGACTCGATCGCGGTCAGCTTCTGCACCACGGCCTTCTTGTGGGCCAGGAACGCTGCGCCAACAGCCAGTGTAGTCGTAGTCACCACGGGCAGTCCCACCGGGACTCCGACGATCAGGAGAATCAAAGTCCAGTGCAGGAGATTGTTGTCATCATTTTCCGGGGTGGCGATGCGCAGGTGCCGGTAAAAGCCCCCAATCCACGCAACGAGGATCCAGAACATACCCAGTACCAGCAGGGTAGTGCCGATGGAGTCCATCACGGCCTTGAAGTGGCCCTGGTCTTTGGCGGTTTTGCCGATCGATGCGGTTCTCCCCACGAAGGTGTCTTTCGCCGAGGCAGTCACGATGGCGTACGCCTTGCCTTTCTCACAGCTGGCCGTGTAATAACAGACATCCCCCATGAATTTGTCGACCTAATACAAGGTCAGACGAGACGTCTGTGAGACAATCTTTGGGTGATGGTCAGGGGTACCTACAGCGAGGGATTCACCAGTAATCGCACACTGGTCCGCGGCAACAATCGCTTTTTCCGTATGCTTGTGCTCATCCTCGCTGCTTTTTCCGTCCTCGTGCAGAAGGTCTTCTCCCTCCTGCGCCATCTTTCCTCTCTATGCAGCACACGTATCGGGCTCACTATAGTCACAGATCAATTGTGCTTCCGCAGGGATGACATTGCCTTTCTCCAGAATGAGCTGTGTTTTAATGTCAGTCATTTTTTCGGCGTGATGCATCGCTAGGCAGAGTATGCCTACAATGTCCCCCACGACGACCTCACGAGCCAAGATCTCCTTTTCCTCCCCATCTCGCACCACAATTGCCTTCATGGCGAGGTTGCCCTTTAGGCTGGCGACCACATCCGCGGCTTGTTTCTCCTGGTACCATCCAACGATCGCGTTCAACAGGAGAATTCCAATAATCACGCCAAAATCGATCCAGTCGCGCAGGCCAGCCACGAGGAACAGGGCGAGCTCCTTCACTAATAGGTTGTTTAGTATAGGCAGTAGATGGGCACAAGCAGAAACTTGATAAGCACGTACCATACAGTATCGGACCCCGGAAATATGCGATGAACTGAAGCAGCTTGTTGGGGCTTTCACTGGCCAGTTCATTCCATCCGCACTTCTTCCGCCGTCCGTCAACCTCGGCTTCCGGGAGACCCGACGAGATAACAGTGTCCAGCGACTCCGAGGGAGTCTGGAAGGGCCCACCACCCTTCTCGTCTGTGCTGTCGTGAGACTGCCGCCAGAATTTCCGCCGGGGTGGGTGCGAAGTGGGGTCGTCAGAATCCTTGTCGGTTACTGACGGTGCGGCATGACTGGCGGTGGTCGTAGTGGCGATAAAGCGATTGAGGGCAGTGTACTCCGATAGATCAGTCGATGGCTGGTGACCGTTGGGAAGCTCGTTCTCGTGGTCTTCCATCGTTGCTTGCTTGGTCTCGCCTTGGATTCATGTCCAGGAGCATTGGCACACCTCCAACGGGTAGAACAGGTAGTGCGGCTGCACTCCTATAGTCTGTCCTAGCTAAACCCTAAGTCATCGGCTTTCCATCAAGCAAGGCGCCTATGCGCACGAGATGACGTATCTAGGTAGGTGGTTCACTTCGGATGAAATACATATAGCCATGGAGTCGGGTCCCTACAACTACCGTCTACCACCCCTCCAGAAACTACGTATGCATGATATACTACTATTATGCCGTCGCTCTCCTATCTTCGAGCTGGTTCTGCCTTCTTCTGCTGTCGACCACCCCGACAAGGCACGCCAGTCGATGATTCGAGATCCCCAAACTATACTAGGCATACTCTTGAACTCAATGCACCACCGGCTAGCAAGACAGGGGATGTTGATCTCGGACTCGGGGCTCTGAGTGAGGTCGCTGCTCCCGAGCCCACTGCTCCGGTCAAGGTTCGACGTCCCACCCTCGAGGACGCCCATTCGCGCTGAAGCGCAAGCAAATGACAAGTCTCATTCTGTAAGGGATTCAGCTATCCTTACCTCTTCGCTGTCAGTAGACCGCTAAATGGTGAGAGATGGGAAACCCAGAGAAGTGGCCGGTGTCCCGCCGTTTCAGGGCTATCCGTGCAACTATGGTGCTATTCCACAGGTGAACGCCCCTTGAACACCTTCTTTCTCTAGGGTTATCTGTGTGGCCATATTGCTGACGTCTGACGGTTATTTCAGACAACAGACCTGGGAAGACCCCACGGCAATAGACTCTTACACACGAGTGGTAGGAGATGACGACCCCCTGGATGTCTGTAAGATCGGCACCGGGGTGGCTCAATGCGGCGAGGTCAAGAAGGTGAAGCCGCGGGACATTTACCGTGCTGGACGAAGACAGCACGGATTGGAAGATCGTTGCTGTCGATGTCACGGATGCGCAGGCGGAGAGCCTCGCGGATATACAGGATGTGGAAACGCAGTTTCTTGGATTCTTGGAATCGTTGAAGACCTGGTATTGCGTCTACAAGGTGTCTGATGGATGCAGTTCGAATCAGCTGGCACCCGATGGAAGGCTGATTGATGAATTGGCAGTAAGGTTGTTGTTCGCTTGGTTGGGAAACTTGCTGACGCGCTTGTGTAGATTTGCAATGAGACTGATTGAACATTGCCACGAAGCTTGGAATCCGATGAAGGGATTTCCGAACTGCAATTGAAGGGCTGAGGCTGTGGAATGAGGCGGATCTCTCAACGTAGTTGCCTCGTTCTGAAGACCAAGGGCAGCAGTTGTTGACTTGAAGCGATACACTGTTGCCTACTTTTGTAAAGGTAACACCGTTTTGCTCTTATGTTGTTCTTCCATGATACACGTCAAAAGATTATGATATAATACAAATCTTATTTATTACTTCATAAATAAACCTTCTCTACTTAAGGTCGCTGTATATAACAAACGACCAGCTCATCGTTTATTAATGGATGGTTATTGTCCTGTACTCGCACTGAAGCAAATCGGAGTCTCGAGCCCTCGAGTCCACTTCAAGCTGCCAATCTCCACCACCAACAAGCAGAAGGCCACCACCACACTGATGATTCCATACACATACGCGTGCCGCGGACGCAGGTCAATCAACTCCAACGCCCACGTACTGACGGTCGTCAGACAGCCGCAGAAACCGTCCATGATTCCTTGCAAAACCTGGCAGCCAACAACGCTTCCCCCGCCCAGACTTGCAGCGCTGATCGAGCTGTGCTGCAAACAGTACGCCATTCCTAGCACTGCGGTCCCTGAAATATTCGCCGCAAAGGTTCCCAGGGGAAACGCGGCCAGACGACTGTTGAGCTTGAGAGATAAGAAGAACCGGGCGAGACAGCCGACCGGGGAGAACACCAGCGCAAACAGCACGGGGCCACGCCATATCTCTGCACTCCATAGTGTCGGGTCCAATGCGTAACGCGGCAGCAGTGCGACGATGCAGATAAGCGCGATCCAGGACAAAGTGGCCAGCGGGATCATGCACGGGTTGACGATCCGTTCCAGCCACCATTGCGGTAAACGGGGGGTCCAAGAGGAGAGAAACACCGCCGTATGGGCTCCGAGCTTGATGCTAAACGTGGATAGCCCAACTTCGAGGAAGAGCACTGCGATGATCGCCATAAAGCTGAACCCGCCGTTGGGGGCCTTGGGAGCGTCTTGCGCAGCAGCGAACAACGAGATGTCTGAGTAGGGGCCCACGGGAACGGACAGACCATCGGACAGGGCGAGGAATAGGTCGCGGATGAAGGTGGAAAAGGAGGTCAAACTCCCGCAAAATCCGGTGGTCAGTCCGATGTAGAGGGGGATGGTCTTCTTGTGGGCGGTTAAACGCACCCTGCGCTGGCCATCATCCTCGTGTTCGACTTGGATGTCCACTCCTCTGAACCGGAACAGCCCTTGGTCTTCACTGAGAAATCCCATGATGAAACAGCCTCCCACATTGGCCCATAGTACACTGATGTTGACGGGCGCGCCGGGATAGAAGGTCAAACTCTCGATGACCATTCTCAGTAAAGTGCCCAGGAACGAGAAGAAGATCAAATAGGAGATGACATAGGGCATGCGCATGGAAGTTGACTGAAGGCCCCTCCCCGGCTGCTTTTCAGCTTCTTCCCGTCCCACGGTCGGTGTATATCCATTTTGATTTGGTCGAGAGTCTCGCTCCACGTCTTGTTCTACTCTGCCTGCCTGGTGGGATAATTCATTCTCGAGGTGATCCTCACCGGGACGATCGTAGACCGGTGGCGGGGCGGCAACCTCATCGAGATTGATTTTGGAGTCGGATTCGGATTCAGCCATTGGCATTGGCTTCTCTCTCGGGGATGAACCTGAGGGTCGTTCTAGTCTGTCGTGTCGTGCCTGGGCACTGCATTGTGACTGCATTCTCAAGGGCAGGAGCAGGCACGATTGTGGTGGGGGGAAAATTCCAACAGGTCCTCCCTGTCCGAGTGCTCATCATTGAACTTGGTGGCATTCCGGCAATCGCGGTAACTCCGCCAATCACGGCCCGGACGGCTCCCTTTATCTTTCGGATCAACTCATGCAGAATTTGACCTTGAACCTTTCCCCAACCATCGGACTTACTACCATCACTATCAATCCAAGTCAGAAGACCAGAATCTTCTTCCATAACCATAATTGGCTGTATGCCTGCACTCCATTCTAGTGACCGTGATGCGGAATATGCCTTCGATTGATTATGGCATCACGTGATCTGACCCGGACTTGACGATGCGCTGACATAAGCACAGCCACCCCCTTCGTTCTCATTCATTCACTCACTCGGGCTTGAGCATTCTTCGTAGCTCTTCTCAGGTTCACTGGCGTCTGAAGCATCATCTGATCGACATGCATCATGAAGCGCCAGAGAGCCCCCATTGCTTGTGAGAAATGTCGACTTCTCAAGGCCAAATGCGATGGGCGACAGCCAATTTGTACCCGATGCGAGGGCTACGGCTTCAAATGTTCATGGTCAACACGTAAACGAAAGGTTCCATTGCCAGAAGTCGAGACTACGAAAGATGTATCTTGCAAAGAGCCAAAGTGTCAGGCTTTGTCGGACGAACCAAAGCATGATGATCTAGCGAGCTATCAAAGAGCTGTGCGGCAATACGAATCTCTGATGCAGGAGCTACTATCGAACCTCGATCAGAGCCAGAAAGGAACTCTGAATGCTAGTCTACACACAATCCGCCGACAGCTGCCTGTTAATGCCACCGACTCGAGCCTGGAGCAGCCTTCCTCGACCCGCGAACCGAGCACTGTCTCTAACGATGTGGGCGTGGATTCGCCTGCCACCTACGTGGGCAAGGCCAGTGATATTCATTTCATACATCGCATTCGCCAGTGCTATCAAACTGGGGCTTGGTCTGCAAGAGAGCCCTCATCAGCCGACAACTATTCTCAGACGCATACCATCAAGAGCTTGGCCGGGTTAACCCAGCCTCTCATCATTCCGACTCCAGCCGAAGCCCAAGACTTCATAGATGTTTATCTATCCACCATTCATGTCGCTTACCCGTTCCTCTGCAGAGATATCCTCCTCGAGCAGTTTCAGGTTTTCCAGACCGGTGATTACGCGTACCAGGAATTCGAGCCCTGGCTGGCATTGTTTAGTAAGACCATGTGTTTGATGGATCTGCACTGCTTCTGACCGCTAGATAGACTTTATCTTCGCCATCGGCTCCTACTACACCTCTTTTCCACATCGATCTGGAACAGCGTCTTTGGATCATTTGCGATACTTTGAACAAGGTGTCTACTTTTCGCGGGAACTGGGCGCAACCTGTTCCTTGCTAAGTGTATGGGCCTTGATAGTGCAATGCTTTTTTCTGCTGGCGATATGCCACACAGATAGGTAAGTTCCATTGTGGTCATAATTTTAGATCGATAACTCATCGTAAGGACCAGATGCTGGAACACACTAGGCTTTGCCATCCGCATGGGTCAAAGCATCGGTCTTCATGTCGAATCGTCCCCCAATCACGCCCGCACATCATGGATGGCCGACCGGGCGCACTGGCGGCGAACCTGGTACTCGATGTATGTTCTCGATCGACTCCTTGCGCTTCAACTCGGCCGTCCTATGGCCATTCACGAAAGTGAATTTCAAGTGGAGATGCCCTCTGTCTCCGACCCCTTCCCGTTCGGTCATACTGCAACTGTGTCCGAGGGGTCTAGTACGGCAAGCAGAGATACACCGACCTGCTCCCTTATGGACTACTTCCTTGTCGTCATCCGTTTCTCTTACTTGGTGAGTGCAGTTATTCGGGAGTTGTACCGGCCCTCGCAGATCGACGTGGCCCCGGACATGATGCTGGACACCTCGTCGGCTCTGGATCAACGGCTCAGCGAATGGAAGAAGGGACTGCCACGACATCTCCGATTTGATCTGGGCCATAACTTTGAGAGCTCCGTCACCTTTAAGCGACAGGTATGTAGCAATCTACTAGGCTTGGTTTGTGACTGCTGTGACTTACGCACTGCAGCGTAATATGCTGGCCGTGAAGTATCACCATCTGCGCGCTTTGATTCACAGGCCTTTTCTATGCCTTCCCCTCTTACAAACCAATAACCATCCGTTCATGGAACTGCTGCGTCGGGACAAACACAGAATCACCCAGGCCGAATCCATATGCGTCCAAGAAGCACGGCAGACAGCGCAGCTACTTCACAATCTGGTCGACGAGCGCTGTCTGGTGCATGACTTTCCCTGGTGGCAGATGATCTCGTGCTTAATTTGCGCCAGCTCGATTCTCTTTGTTGCCGAAGCGTTCTGCCCCAACCAAGACTCGTTGTATAGCACCGCATCTGCGCAGGATCTGCGAGAAGATGCCGAGACCTGCTTGAAGGTCTTCGAGGCGCTGAGTGCCAACTCAGCTGCTGCACGAAAAGCGGCTGAGATGCTGAAAGCGCTGTCAAGCCTCCATCATTCCATCCATAAAGGTGTGTACCAGGTTTTACTCTGGTCGGGTGGATATCGCTTCTCATCTTCTATACCTATAGCACCGTCAGCAGTCGTAGAGTCTACCTCACAGCCGTTATCGCTTCTACCACAAGCCCGCAGCGACACAGACCCTGCTCTTAATTTCGACTCAGCCTCGTTCACGTCGTCACACATTATGCCAGACGATCTCCAATTCCCCGGGGAGTGGCCTAGTGAGATTTCCAGCGCGATGGCGTGGTCGGTGCAGTTTTTCGACCAGCCTTCGTCTCGGGTTGCCGACTTCCCTTCTGGTTCAGAAGAGCATTCCTTTCCATAAACGGCGACTGTTGTATCAGTTGTCCTATTCATATGCATAAGGATGATAGCGCAGCAGTGGGGATGCGGTGGATCCACTTGCTGCCTTAGGCAGAAACTCAGCTTCACCAACCAATCGCCCGACTCGATCGCTGTACTCCGTAGTCCACGTCCGATTCTCAGCCACAGCACTTCAATAGCTCCGCATATTTTGGCCACCCTAGGTCTAGCTCGCATCCAGACCTGAACCGATCAGGTGGGTTGAGCGAGGCACGGCGTACTCCGTGGATAGTGGCTTGTCGGCACCCCCTTAACTAGCCCTAATGCGGTAGAGTCCTCGCTACGATTTTCCCCAGCTTGCTTTCAGCTCCAAGGCTTGAGAAGTTGAGAAGCCTGTGTCTCCACCCCAATTCTCGGTCAACTTATCGATAGGCTCAGACTGATCTTGATCCCCCAGAAGAGCTGTCCCACAATGCTGGGAGTGCGGCCATTGCGGCCATCTGACGCCACCGAATCCCAATTGCCTTTAAATAACAATCGCTGTTCTTCCTCCATCGCCGCCCGGCTAACGACGTGCGACATCCGATTTTTCTTTCGTGTTACTCCTTGCTGGCATTCACTGTCTGTCTTTTCTGTCCATGCCATTGTGATAATCTCCAAGGCTCCTACTGAGCCCTTGTCATTCTTTAAACATCAACCCCAACCTCCATAAAACCAATCGTTACCGTCCTCACCATGAAGGACTTCTCAGTAGCCACTGGGCTGCTTCTCCTCTCAGCCTTGGCCCCTGCCAGTCTGGCAGCCACAATTGCTCTTCCGGCTGCTGGTGCTCCCAGTGTTTCTATCGCCACCGTGACTTCGACCTATCCCACCACCGTCACCAATGTAGTCACCAGCTCTTCAGCAGTGGTCACCACCAATGTGGTCTGTGCCACTGGCACGGCTTCTCTCGGATCCGGCACTTCATGCTCCGATTACGCATGGTCTTCCGCCGGTGTCTACTATCGTGAGATGTGTGACGGCTCCTCCATCACTGGAGCAACCACCCGAGCTGTGATGAACGTTTACAGTCGCCAGGCAAATATCAACGGCTGTGAATTGTATTGTCGTATCTTCAATGGCATGTGTAATGCCGTTAATTATAACCCGGCGGCGAGCAGTTGTCAGTACCTGTGGGCCACCGGCAATGCCGTGGTCTCTGCCTCGGGCTATCAGGCGCTCAGTTCTTACTCCACCAACCCATGCACGGAGACGGTCACAGCCATGGAGACCGACTACTTGACCGAGTATGTGACCAGCCAGGCCACTACCATTTATACGGTGACGGTAACGGTCCCGACCAGCTCGGCGACATTGACCGTCGTCTCGTCCACTCCTTCTCCGGTATCCTCGACTGTGACTCCCACGGCTGTGATGCCGTCGAGTGTGGCGTCGGCCTCATCTGTGGTTCCTTCTTCGATTGTCATTCCTTCTTCGATTCCTTCGGTTCCTTCGGTCCCTTCGGCTTCTTCAGCTCCTTCTTCAGCTCCTTCTTCAGCTCCTTCTTCAGCTCCTTCTCCGGCTCTTTCAGCTTCTTCGGCTCCCTCTTCAATTCCCTCGTCGATTCGTCCATCGACCCCCTCCTCCGTTCCCTCCTCCATCCCAGCTTCCGCTCCTTCGCTATCCCGCTCCACCCCCGTCGTGGCTCCCAGCCCCAGTGCCGGCTCCTCTTCTCTCTCCTCTCAGCAACTCAGTTCGCCCACACCCCTGACGCGGTCATCCTCCGCCCTCATTCCGCAGCAGTCATCCTCCGCTCCCTCGCAGCCCGCGCGGCTCTCTTCTTCATCGGTGATCCCAGTCCCCGTTCAGTCCCCTGGCAGTGCTCTCTCCTCCACTCCAGCCCTACGCCCCTCTCAACCCTCGCTGATCCCTACGGCCGCGTCGACTTCATCTGTGGCGGTGGCCGCTCCTCCCCACACCACCGAGCCTCCGACTCCTTCCGGGAAGGGTGACGAGGACGTGGTGACGTCGACTGTTTTGGCTACGGTTACGGTCACCGTTCTGTCCGACTGTGAACAAGAAAGGGTCTACTGATGAACGGGTCACAGTTTGAATCTCGATGACTGCGATGATTAACGGGATGCTATGACTTCCTGGCAGAATAAGAGTAATTCAGAATGATTATATTAATGATAATATCTACAACTTCCACTTTTAACGTGGCTCTCACTACTGTACTGCGAGGGAGCAGACCCGATTAGGTGTCGCCTGTTAAATGCGATCATGGAGATACAGACAGTCTAGTAGAATAAAAGAGCATCATATAGAACGCTGATATGTCAATATCTCCAGGCTTAAGCTTACAAAACAGAAAGAGCTGACTCAAGTAGGAGGAGAAGAGGTGGAAGGAGCAGGCTTCACGGTTATTAGGGTGGGCAAAAGGGTTCAACAAGATGAGAATTGACGCAAGATACAAAGTGGTGTGCATAAAAACAGTGGCATTCCAGCCAGCACAAAGATTAAAAAAAGAATAAAAAAAGTGAGCACGCGGCTAGAGAAGACGCTAGGCTCTTCTCGGTAAGGTATGCCTTTGTTGACAATGCAGGCAGGCCAACAACGAAGTTGGAACAAAAAAGATGACAAGAGTGGGATTCGAACCCACGCCACTTGCGTGACTGCAATGCTCTTCAGATGTGATCTGGAGAAGGAATGGTCCTTGAGTGCAGCGCCTTAGACCGCTCGGCCATCTTGCCTTGTTGTATATTAGCCCTTAATAAATGCTCTATGAACAGCACAAAACAAGCGAGCAGCGCAGCTCACATCGTGCGCATCATCACAGATAACCACAATTGGTCTCCTTAGGATGTACCTCTACACAGACAAAGCACTTGTTTATCTCAGGTATGCCGCAATTGAGCTCATTCACTTCGAAATGTGGCATATATCCAAACCCACCCCCCCTACCACAGCCGCTTCCACCTCACCTTCATATCCCGATCCGGCGGAATCCCCACGGCCCCGATGAGCGACTGATCGTTCTGCGCCGGTCGATCCGACTTGGTTCCATCCGGATGAATCCAGTCAATCAACTCGATCTCGAACCGAGTCACGAGAGCCGCGATGGTCATCAAAATCTCCTGCTTGGCGAATACCCGACCGGGACAGATGGACGGTCCGCCGCCTATATATATCCGTCAGCAGAAGCCCCGTCAAGATCTTGTCAGCTGCTGCAGGGGCATACCAAACGGAAAGAACGAGCTCGTCTTGCCTGCCATCGTAAACTCCGGCGTCTCACTCTCACGCTTGAGGTTGCGATAGCCCCAGAACTCCGAGGCCGGATGGCCCGGCGCACTCCACACCCCCTCGTTGTACTGGCCGACCTGGCTCGGGGCCTGGATCAACGACCCCGGCGTCAAGAGGAACCCGTCCAGGGTGATGGGCTGGGTGACCTCGCGAGTGACATTGATCGAAACATGCAGCCGCAAAGTCTCGATGTACACCGACTGCAGCAGGGGCATGCCGAACAGCTTCTGGGGGTCGAAGCCCCGCCGGCCGGTGACGGGGTCGGTCGTGCTGGCGGCGAGACACTCGTCGCGCACCGCGCGGTACAGCGCCGGGTCGGCGACCAGATGCATCAAGGCCCAGGTGGACATGGGGACGGAGTTGGCGTTGGTCCCAAAGATGAAGGTGGCCACCATGCCCGCCGTCGTCTCCGGCGACAGATTCTCCGTCGCCCACTTGACCAGCTCGCGTGCCATCCGCGACCCATACTGCGGCTCCCACTCCGCGTCCGCCTCGGGGCCCGTCGGGTCGAACGCTTTGGCCGCAGCATCGATATACCGGCGACACATCGCCTGGAACTCCGCCTGCGTCTTCCACGGCCCTGGGTTCATCCACCGCGGCAGCCCCCACATTAGCTGCGGCGCGATGCGCGCAAACTCCCACATCATCGGCCAGAAACCCGGGTTGAGCTCGACGAGGCGCGGGCCCATCAGCGCCTCCAGGGCGGCCTCGGCCATCTCGCTCTCGAAGAAGTCGCACAGCCGGACCTCGCGCCACTCGTCCAGGGGCTGCCGGACGAGCCTGTCGGAGAACAGGTCGAAGTATTTGGTGGTCAGGAAATTGGCCCGATTGGTGCGCTGCAGGAACTCCGAGTAGATGTGGTGCTGGCCGTGCCAGAGACGCGGCTCGCCGGGAGGGAGCTCGTGGCCGGGGATGGGGTTCTTGCGGCGGCCGGACTTGTCCTGGCGGAATTTCACCAGCTCGGTGGGTTTGGCGCCCCAGACGTTGGCCATCACGTCGAGGAAGAAGACCTCCGGGCTGATGCTGTGCGAGGGGGTGTTGATCGCTTGGATGTTCTTCTCGCCCGAGACCATGTAGATCTTCTTGGGGCCGAGGCGGAACTTGATAATGTTGCTGCGGCGCTGGGCGGATCTGGAGGGAGTTAGTGACTGGATGCTGGGATAGAGATGATGGCGGGACTGACGCCACTCGCTGCAGGAAGCCATGCATGTCGGTCATGTATTGGTAGGTGTTGGTGATCATCCACCCGGACAGGGAGGGGGGTTCCTTGCCTCCATGTGGTCTGAACTGCCTGAAGATGACGGCCAGTACGAGGCCTAGGGCGATTCCGGAGTAGAGAAACATCGCGGCGATGATGCGGTACCCAACAGGGGGGATGTGATACGAACGGAACGAGACTCGTTGCGGGGTGGCCTCCCTTTATGTGGGAAATCAGCAGAACGTGCATGATCGACGCGCCACAGCCTCGTTTTGTGACTCCGATCCAGCTTCGGAAGATACTCCGGCCTTCGGTCATAAAAAGGACGCAGGAAAAGCCGATGATTCGGAGACGCTGTGCTACAAAACCTCCGAGTGGATGACGACCCTCGGGATTAGCCCTAACTGTTCACTTTAATACCTCACCTTACACACAGACACAATCACCCAGCCACCTCTCACCACCACAGCCCCTGCTCTCCAAGATGACACACCTCACGCAAACCGCCATCGTCCAAACCCCCAAGGACAGCGACAACCCAACACATCTCCCCCTCACCGTCTCCCCGACCGCCCCCATCCCCTCCCCGCAATCGCCACACCATGTCCTCGTCCGCATCCTGGCCGTCGCCCTGAACCCCAACGACCACAAGATGGTGACCTACTTCAACAAGCCTGGCAGCATCGCTGGCTGCGACCTCAGCGGCGTGATTCAAACCTCCCACCCAGAGCACCCAGACCTGCCCGTCGGCACGCGCGTGTGCGGGGCCTTGTTCCCCTACAACCCCACCGACAAGGGCGACAACGGCTCGTTCGCGCAGTACTGCACCATTGACGCGCGACTGCTGGTGAAGGTACCCTCGCACTGGAGCGACACCGAGGCAGCAGCGCTAGGCGTCGCGTGGTCGACAATCTCGCTGGCGCTCAGCGATCCGCAGGCGTTGGGGTTGGAGGGATTGCCATCGCGCACAGTGCATCAGGCCGGCGAACCGGTCGTGGTGTATGGCGGCGCAACTGCGTCCGGGACTTTCGCATGCCAAATGCTTAACCTGTACTATTACTCCCGCCCCCTCCCATTGCATTGACAATATAAGCTAAATAGGGTCTGAGCTAACACGATAAAGAATGGGCTACACCCCCCTAGCAATAACATCCCCACAATCCGCCCCGCTGGCTCTGTCCTACGGCGCAAAGGGCACCGCATCCTACACGGCCAAGGACTGCGTGGCCACGATCCAAGCCCTCGCCGGAAAGCCCATTCGATATGTACTCGACTGCATCACGGACGCCGACTCCACGGCGCTGTGCTACAGCCTTCTAGCCCGCACGGGCGGCGTCTACGCCTGTCTCGAGGAGTGTCCCGCCGCGTGGCGGACCCGACGCGCCGTTCGCGTCAAGGAGGTAATGGGGTTCCAGGTGCTGGGTACTGATCTCAACCTCGGGGAGTCGGCGTACACCCGTCCAGGGGATCCGGCGCTGCTGGCGATCGGGATGCAGTGGGCGAAGGAGGTGGAGGGGTTGATGGCACGGCGGGAGATCAAACCGCATCCGCTGCGGGAGCTGAGCGGCGGGTGGGAGAGGATTATTGAGGGACTGGAGATGTTGAGGAAGGGGGAGGTGAGGGGGGAGAAGCTTGTGGTGCGGATTCCGCAGTAGACAGCATTGCATTTGGGTGTGGACAATGTTAGATGGTCTCGCGTTTAGAAGGGTGGGATCTTGTCAAATGTAAGCTCAACAGTGCAGTCTACTCTAGTCTATAAAAGCAGGCCGTCAAGGCAGATCAATCGCGTCAAACTGCGCCCAGAAATCCTTCTTCCAAGCATTCACCAACTTCGTGACTGTCGGATTCCCAAAGGGCGCCTGCTGCGTGGCAAAGAACCCTGCCACGCCCTTCTCACGATTCGCCCACCAGACGACATTCGACGCCCCTCCCCAGGCCAGCATGCCCCCCGGCTGCTCTATCTCCGGCACCGGACCCACGCACAGCAATCCCCCCAGCCCGTGGTTGACCGCATCCTCCGCAATCGGGCCCGCAACGGTATCCCACGCGGGCCGCAGCCCCAGCAGCATCTGCACGCCATTCGACCCTTTCTCCAACTGCGGGACGAACATCTCCGCGACGGTCGCGCGAGTCAACAGTTCGGGCGTATCAGACACGAGGTCCGCGAGCACGGCCAGGAAATCCCCCGTCGTGGCCGCCAGCCCGCTCCCACCCTCCTGGTCCTCGGGGTTATCGAACGCCCAGCGCTCCAGCGGCGCCAGCTTCCCGTCCTGTGTCCGCACCGCCCCCTGCAGAATCTGGGCGTGATACTCGGGATGCAGCATGATATTGAACCGGGGAAACGGGGCCACCCGCCCCAGAGGCTTGAAGATATGCTCCACGAAGTAATCCCCAAGGGATATTCCCCCGTGCAGCCGACTGACCACCACCCCGGCCCAGTCCAGACTACATCCGTACAGCCAGCCGGTCCCCGGCTCGAACACCAGGGGCATTTGATATCGTTCCGTGATTTTCAGAGAGGGTGGCTCGGTGCGCGCCTCCGCCCGCAGCCGGAGCAGGCGGTGGGTGAATCTGTACCCCAACCCCGAAGTATGCGTGAGGAGGTGGTGCGCGGTGATCGGGACGGTGCTGGGCGCGAAGGTGAACTGGCCGTCAACGACGTCCGTCAGAATCTCGATGTCCGCCAGTTCCGGGAGGATGCTGGTGAGGGGTTGGTCGAGGCCGATGAGGTTTTTGTCCACGCATTGGAGGAGAGCGATGCTTGTGATCAGTTTGGTGGCGCTGCCGAGTTTGAGAACCGCGTTCTCGTCCACGGGTGGGCTGTCGGGGGCGAGTGAGGTGTAGCCTGCTACTTTGCTGTAGATCTCCGTTCCTATCGGAGAGAAGAGTTAGGATGGAATGCAGAAAAAGCAATGAGGCGTGAGGAGGTTAGGCATATGAGTGGGACAAGCAATGAAGAGTGTAGGGGTGGGCGCTGGTACCGGTTCGGTCAACGCATTTGCAGATCACGCCGTGGACTTGGGGGTTGGCTTTGGCGGTGTATTCGGCCAGGAGGGCGTCGAATTCGGTCATTTTGGTGTCTCGTCTGGTATCCCGGGAATTATTGTTGAGAATGTATCATAGCAGAACAGAAAGACCCAATATGGTGGAAGATGGTGGGTTGTTGTGAGAAAAAAGGTGGTGAGGGGCAGAGAAGGAGAGAAAGACCGTTCAAGTGAGAAAGTGAGGCGGGGAACAGCGAAGATCCCTGCTTAGCTCTGCATTAGCGAGACTCAAAGAACAAAGACTGATCAGATTGATGACAGTTATGACGGTCCTGACGCTGATGATACATCCTACATGAATTCCCGAGCTCTACCCAATTCACACAACTCTGCCTCTGTCCTCGAGCCCTCTCAATTCGGAGGTTTCATCGTCCATGTCGGGAATTACTCGGGAATTGTTTCGTCGTCTGTCTCCGAGACGCAACTGTAACCCTAACCAGCTCAGACAGACAGACTACTTCGTTCCCCACCCACCATGAATCAACAAAGAAACAACCCAAACCTCCATCTCGACCCAACTCAGCCCAAACTCACCTCTCCTAATCATCGCTCAGCACAAACATGACACTCCATCGCTACGCTCCCCTCCACACCAACCCCCAGGGCCTCAACGACGCCCGCCCCACCGCCACCCAAATCCTCGCTGACCAAACCCTCCTCGACACGAACGCGTGGAAAGACAAAACCATCCTCATCACCGGCGGGACCGCAGGGCTCGGCGCCGAGTCAGCGCGCGTGCTGCACCGCACTGGGGCCAAGATCTTCATCACGGGGCGGGACGTGGCGAAGGGCGAGCGGCTCGCGCGGGAGATCTCCGCTGTGAATCCTGATCCCTCAGCCCCAGCCATTGAAGTCATTCACATGGACTACTACAGTCTGCAGAGCGTGCGCGACGGGGCGGATGAGTTCCTCCGCCGCAGCGGGGGAAGGCTGCATGTCCTGCTGGCGAACGCGGGGGTGGTGGCCTCGCCGCGGCGCACCACGGATGACGGGTTCGAGGGAGTGTTTGGCGTGAATTACCTTGCGGGATTCTTGCTAGTGCAGCTGCTGGCCCCGGCGCTGGTGGCGTCAGCTACACCGCAGTTTTGCTCCCGACTTGTGGTGGTGTCGAGTGCGGGCCATCGGGCCAGAAATATCGATCCGGAGGATTATAACGCACTGATCGGCGAGTATAATGCCTCCAAGGCGTATGCACAAAGCAAAACAGCGACAATCCTCATGTCCAACGAGTTCGAGCGCCGGTATGCCGGACGTGGCGTGCATGCGCTGAGTCTGAACCCTGGGATTATTATGGATACGGAGATCTCGCGTGGCTTGCCGGGCTCGTCGTCTGGCAGGCGTGAGCAGTACTACAAGATGGAGCCGTTGTTGGCGAAGATGGAGAAGAGCGTCGAGCAGGGGGCGGCGACACAGGTCTGGGCAGCGGTGGCTGGCGAGTTGGAGGGGAAAGGGGGGTTATACCTGGATGATGTGCAGGTTGCGGAGGAGGCGGAGGAGGCGTCGCGCGGACAGTTTGCGTTGCCGGGGTGGGCGAGCTGGATTTGGGATGAGGCAATGGCAGTGAGGTTATGGGAGGATAGTTTGAAGATGGTGGGTCTGGGTGAGGAAGTGAATGTGTCCTAGGGCTGCGATGCTATGTCGCAGGTCGGCGTGTCTCGTTAATTCTTCATTGTATTGCTCCATCTTCTTGATTTTGATGAAGAATGCTTGTCAGAGATAAGATCTGTAGGGTGCAATTGAATCTCACTACGGTGCCATATCGCGGGCTGAATGGATTGGGTGATCTCAAATTTTCAACTACGAAACTGACAGATTGTTATATCTAGCTAAGAAATAGTCATCCACGACTCAGGCATGAGAAATAACACAGGTACTGGTTGTAGGAAGGATCATCCTCTCAATTGTCACTCAAACTAGGGCTAGCTAACAAATCTCGTCCCATTCACCCTACACGGCCGGCCGAGCCAGCATATTGGCATTGTAATAAAACGGAGGCTCACTGTCCAAACCAACAGCATGCAGTCCCTCAAAGCCCGCCAGTTGCAGCCTCTGATTCCATTCCTCCGGAGGCACACAGGGGCCATCCACACGCCCGTCCGCCGCACCCAGCCACCAGCCAGGCAAGAGTCCCTGTATGCGTCAGTAGCCACATCAGCTCAGCTCAAGTCGTACTCACCACCATGTAATCCACATATTTTCCTGCTATTGGCATCGTCAGCACTTCTCCCCAGTCAAACCAGAGGAGATAAGACCTACGCGGCGACAGCTCCTGGAGAAAGAGCACCCCCTTCGGCTGGAGCAACAAGCGACAATGCTTCAGCGTTTCCACCAAACACGGCGTCGCATGCAGAACCTATACTTGGTCAACCTCACGAACAACTTATGGATTAGAAGGTATACTCACATTCGACGCAACAACAACATCAAACCCACCGATCTCAAACCCCTGCTCCGCTGGATCTTTCGCAATATCCAACGCACGATACTCCACCCCCTCATACCCCTGGAACCTCTCCCGGGCTTTCTCGAAGAAAAGCGTCGAGATATCGGTAAACACATACTTCCCAAACCCGGGCCCCTCAGTCCCACCTGCAAGGCCTTCCAAAGCCCTAGCGGTGGTACCCCCCGTTCCCGCCCCGATCTCCAACACCCGTAGTCCAGGCCTCGACTGCCCCAACAACCGAAACAAAGGTCTCACCTCTGACAACCCATTCGCCCAGTCATAGAACCTCTCCAGCAGACCATCCTTCAGCAGAACCTTGACGAGCTTGACCCTGCCCTCGACAATATCCACCACATTCTCATACACCCGCCACGGGCCCTCGATGACAGGCCACAGCTCCGTGTCCCGGGTCTGCTCGCGCAGGGCGGTCATGAGACTGTGGCGTTCCGCGCTGGACAGCTTGACCAGGGCGCCCGAGTCCGGCACTTGCGGGTAGTTTGAATGATGGAAGCGCTCGAACTCGGCGGCGATGAAGGCGCGGTAACGGGCGAAGTGCGGGCGGGTCAGATTGGCGGCGGGGATGATTTGGAGCTTGGGGTGCATCTCGATGGCGCAGAGGACCCACATCCGGGCGATGAGGTTCTGTTCGATCGTGGACGGCCGGGTGGGGTGTAGGAGGGTGGTGACCGGGTGCGCGGGCATGGTGGGGTGCCATCGCAGGTCGACGGTCTGCCAGGCGGGGTTGGAGGTGGTCATTTTGTCGACGTGAGAGAAGAAGAATAGGATGCTGGATGGTTGATGGCGAGATAATAGCGGCATAGGCCGAAGCAGCTTTAGTATGCCCAGGCAATGGGGGTATTTCCTGCTTCGTAGATGGGTCAGTAATTGCCGATATGCATATGGATACTTCCGGTTCGGGGGTTTCTAGGGTTGTTTATTTCCGAGCTGGTTCTTTCGAGGCGTGTCCGACAGGATGTGCATGTGCGTGGTTGGTGAGATGCAGCTGACTGGGAGGTTCTTAGGGCTATCTCAGAACTGTCAGACTACATGCTCCCGCCAGAGGAGTGTGGAGACATGCTCCATCATTGGTATGAATGCATTGTACATGACACTCGCACTATACTCGATAATCGCTTTAGGTCTGGAGATTATCCACGGAAATAATAATTTACTTCAGCAGTAGCACTCGTACCTAATCGAAAACATCCACTGCCCACCGTACATTCTTCAGCCCCTCAAACCACCCCCTCACCTCCTCCCTCGTAGCCCTATCCCCACCATCACCAGTCTTATGCGCCTCCCAGAATACATCCACCAACATCTCTTTAACAGCCTCCCCAACAGCCCGACTCCCACAAACATATACTCTAGCCCCATCCTCCCAGACCTCCCGCACCCTCTCCCTGTCCGCCCACACTTTCTCCTGCACATACCGACAACCCTCGCTCTCCCCGCTCCTTCGACTATAGGCCCGTCTTACACTCACCACCCCCTGTCTCTCCCACGCATCCAACTCCCCCCGATACAAATAATCGTGGCCCGGATCCCTGCACCCGAAATACAGCACCGCCGGCGCCAGCACCTGCCCCGCCGCGTGCCGCGCCGCGCGCTCCTCGATGAATCCGCGGAACGGGGCGATGCCTGTCCCCGCTGCTACCATAATAACAGGCGTTTTGGTGAGATCAGCAGGGAGATGAAAGGCAGCGTGGGACGGTCGGACGGCGACATGGACTTTATCGCCCGCGCAGAGGTGTGAGAGGTAGCTTGTTGCAACGCCCCAGTTGCCCTCCTCTCCATGGACGGAATACGTGAGGACTACGCGTTTCGGATTGGCAAGCGGGGAGGAGCCGATGCTGTACTGTCGCAAGCGCATCGGGGGTAGCATACGCAGGAAGGATGCAATGGGAAGGGTGATATCTGGTGTGGATTCGAGCACACCCAGAACGGAGAGGCGCTTCGCTGCGATTTCGGTGCTGTACCGGTGGTTGTCGTTGGCGAGGGCTTCAAGCCGAGTCTTCGAGGCCGAGTCCTCTGCTGCGTTGGCCAGAGATAGGAGATCGCGTTTGGTAGCGGGCTGGGCGAGTTCGACGTAGCTTCCAAAGATGTGGGTAGCGGGTAGGGAGATATCGTGGGGCAGGGGAGTGCGTCCTTTGGTGGAGATGGTCAGGTGGGCGTCGCAGGGGAGGTGGAAGTGACGCAGGACGCGGTGGACGGACTCGCGCGGGTTGACGGGCAGGATGGCGAGGTAGTCGCCTGCTGTGTAGGGTAGGGTTGCTGGCAGGTCGAGGATGAGTTGGTGCTTTGCGACGAGGGCGTCGGGGCTGGTCAGAGTGCTGGTGGCGATGACGCTGGCCTCGTGAAGGTCGTAGTGGAGGATGTCCTTGCGCGGGCTGGTTACCTGCACGCTCAGCGCGGGGCCTTCGGGAACAGCAGCCCTGTAACGCTTGGTTAGGGCGGGCCAGAGCACCTCGTCTTCCCAGGCCTCGAAGTCCGTCATCTCGTTGCCGGCCGCCACGTCAGTGAGGCCCAACGCGGCGAGGCGCTCCCCTCCGTGGCGGGTTAGGGCTGCGTCGACGAGGCGCGGAATACGGTGGAAGGTCGTCGCCCAGTCGTGGTGACCACATCCAAAGACCGCGTATGAGACGCCCTGCAGTGTGGCTTTGTCTTCTTTCCGTTCTTCGAGCCAGTGGACAAAGCGAGCTGCGTTGTCGGGCGGCTGGCCTTCATATGAGGCAGTGATGAAGACCACCGGCTCGTCGGCGGGCAGTCCATCGACGGCATTGTCGAGACAATCCACGACACGGGCGCGGAATCCATGCGAAAAGGCGTCCGCAGCCAGCCGCTCCGCCATAGACTGACACGTTCCACTATTCGATCCGTAATAGATGCTCATGGGCTGTCCTTCGGTGCTGGTTGGCACCACGCCATTCAACGCATCCGTTGTGTCCAATCTTGGCTGGGGCGTCGTGCCCGCCAGTCGATGCTCCAATGTTGTGGCGGTCAGTCCGTCACGAAGAGTCGCTCGGATCTGGAAGTTGGCCGGCTTGACGGTAAGGGTTTGCTTGAGCGCGAGAGTATACTCCGGGTTGTCGAATTCAAAATCGAAGTTCTGCAGCAGCATGGCCAGCACCAGCAGGGCTTCCTGCCAGGCAAACGGGCGGCCGATGCAGCCTCGGGTGCCGTTGCCGAAGGGCTTCCAGGCGTTGGGAAACTCTTGGTTGAGACGGTCGAAGTTCTCGTCGAGCATGCGCTCGGGCTTGAACTCGTTCACGTCGGCGCCGAAGACCGTGGGGTCGAGTTGGGAGCGGCCCACGAGGACGATAATCAGCTCCCCGGCACGGACAGGATACTTGCCTCCCACGATTTCATCCTCTTTGGCGGCCACGTTGAAGACCGGGAGGGGTGGTGTGAGACGGAGAGTCTCTCGAAGGACCTGCAAGTGTCAGTCTCCATGAGGCCCAGAGCAGACGAGACAACCTACAGCAGAGATGTAAGAAAGCTTGGACAGATGCTCAAATCGGATTGGCGTCTTCCCACAGATCTTATCGACCTCCTTTTGCGCCTTGCGATACATCTCTGGATGCTTCAGAAGATGATACATGGCAAACGACAGCATGCCAGAGGTTGTTTCATGCCCCGCAATGAGAAATGTGATGAGATTATCCAGGATACTTTCCTCGGTCATCTTCTGCCCCGTCTTGGGATCCACCCCGTTCAGCATGGCCGACAGCAGATCCTTGCGCAAGTCCAAGTTCTTCTCCCGTTTGCGCTCCTGCAGGATCTCATTCGCCGTAGTGCGCATTACCTCGATATCCCGAAAAAACTTCTTGTCTTTGCCCCGGTAGAAGAAGGCGGGGATGGGCAGCCGCCGCGCGCGGTCGCCACTCTCGGTCAGGAAGTCGCTCATGGCGGCGACGAAAGGATGTGTCCCCTCCTTGTAGTAGCTATTGAAACGAAAGTCCATCGAGCATAGGGCGATCGTGTCGAGAGTGAGCCGCGTGAAATCGTCGGTCACGGTGATGGGGCTGTCCGGGCCGTGGCGCGCCCACTTCATGGCGAGTTGGCTGGCGATGTCGTACATCCCGTCCAGCATGTTGCGCAGCGACGAGGGGCCAAAGGCGGGCACGAGGATGCGGTGCGCGATGCCCCACTTGGGCTCGACTTGTCCGTCGATGGCCTG